CCGGATTTCTAGGTTAGAACATAATGTTCCATTTTTTTCTGTCTGTGTGCAAAGTTGCAGGCTATGTCATACGACATTGTAGTGAAATCAGGCGCTTGTCAAAATAATGAAATCAAAGAAACGGACATTTTTCCGCCATTTTGGCAATTTTTACCAATTTTTGTTTTTTGGTTCAACACCTCTAATGTCCATGTAAAAGACTTTTCTGTGTGAATAGACTGGAAAATGATTAAAGGCACAAAATATGTAATTTTTCAGTTTTCAAAGACTCTCAAGCTCTTGAAGTTACCGAACTTTGGTGGCCATTTTCTCAATAATTTTACCATGAAAAAGCGTGGCCCCCATCTCCTTCGATCTCAGATATCTCAACTTCTATTCAAGATAGACGCATACTTTTTTCTTGAAGGTACTGCAAATGAATAAGCATTTTGATGATACCAATAATGCCACATGACCAAAAATTAACGAGAGCCTGATGCTACCGCATCTTGACACATATTATGTAGACTCATCTTTTCCTTTCAACTTTGGGGTGGTTTCACATTCTACATGAGTACATTTTACAATCTGAATGTGACTTTCACCAGCAGAGCTCATGATATCAAGAACCACATATTCACTCTCTCTCTCTGTTTCTTCCATTCTTAGTAAAAAAATAGAGAAAAACTTATCGTATTTATCAAATCCCACTGTTCCAGAGACAAATTCCAATGTTGATTATAAATTATAAGCAAGATCTGCTGTATGTGTATATTCTAGACCACTCAATGTGCAAATCTGCAACACCGCCAGCCTCTATCAGCAGCAGCCTTAGAAATACAAGCATGACATGCTCAAGATTCTGTAGGAAAACCTCAGCACTGAAAGGAAAAATCTAGTAAGCTTTGATTAGAGGAGGGATGGGGTAGGTGTGAACGGGAGGAGAAAAAAATATGTTTCTTGCTTTTTTTCACTGAGAAAGGCAGATTTATAATATAAATAATACCGTTCTCAGTTTGGGAAGGGTTTTTTTGTGCCAGGGGTGTGCCATATTCCTAAGGCTGCGGCTGCTGCTTGTCACTGAGGTATGCTTGACTTCTGCCAATGCATTCTGATTTTTCTTCCGATTAGTGTTCAGAGCTATTTTGGGGAATGCATTCTCCCACGTAGCCGATGAAACCCATATGGGAATCACATATTTGTTTGATCTAGGCGCAACAGACTTCTTGGTGGCAGTTGGTTGTGTTCTGCCAGTCACGACGCCAGTTCAGTTGGCCAACAATGGCCATACTTGCTTATTGGTTTGTTTTGTTTTGTTTGGACTCGTTTTCATTTCTCTCAAAACACCATCCCTTGGTACCCACAATAGTGTTGCCATCATTATTCAATAAAATACAGTTATTTCAAACCAAACTCGAGTTTTTTTGTGTGATTTTTTTGTGTGTTTTACGGTGCTCACAACTGCATAAGGTCATATGAGCGTGCGGGACATTTTCAGTTGGTAGGAAATTTTGAACTTTGTCCGTGTAGCGGTGGAAGCGTACCATACTCTTATTGATTTTGGACCACCAAGGGATCTTTGACGTGCACAACTTGCACACAAGACATCAGAGATTTTTCACCCTTTTCCGAGAAGGATAGGTGTTAGATCTTAACTACCATAAGATCAGGGGTGTGGCTGAAAGACAGCAGTAAGAAGGAGCCAAGAAGTAGCAGTAGAAAGGCTGCAGAAAGAGTCAGGAGCCCAGAGGAGAGGGCATAGGAAGAGAAGGGGTAGTGGCAGAAAGTGGAGACGAAAGCAGACGACAGGACATTGGTAGAGAGCAAGAAAGGAGGTAAAAGGAGAACATTTTAGAGAAAAAAATAAAATTTTCTGTAGCTGTCTGGATTTGAACCTGAGACCTATTGAATGAGAGGCGAACATAATTACTTCCCGACCACAAGAACCCCAAACTCGAGTATTTTTGTTGTTGTTTTTTTAAAGTCTTTTGGACATAGGGCAAGTTCAGTGAATCTCTTTATGCATAGCACTTACCATCGTACATATAACTGCAAAATACCTGAATTCTAGTTGACTTCAGAGCTGTACAGGGGATATATTTGGCCGAGGTAATATGTAGGCATCAACGAGACACCTACAAATAAAAACTGTTTTCAATGATGGTGTTTTTACACCCCCATTGACACAATTAAGATCATTTAGGAGGCGAGCTTATTACTCTGCCTGTTAGCTCAAATCAAGGTTGAGGGGGAAACAACATTTCTGCAGAAAGACCGACATACTCGATAAAAAATTTTCCCCACTCTGGAATCAGACTTGGTTCTTCTGCAGGCAACAGTGAAGCACCTAACCACCACACTACAGACACCAGTGACACTTTCAAGAATGAAAGGAAAATCACAAAGGCACCACTTCACAAATATTTGTAAGGCATCGAGGTGAAACAGATGCTCACCAAAATAATGAAATCGAAGAAACAGGCTTTTTCCCGCCAGTTTGGCAATTTCTATCGAAGTTTTGTTTTTTCACTCAACAACTGTTATGTCTATACAGAACAACATATTTCCATGTGTATTTTATGTAAAAACCTGACTCAACGGTACAAAATATGAATATTTTCAGTTTTCAAAGACTCAAAAGCTATTGAAGTTACCAAATTTTGGCAGCCATTTTCTCTCTGATTTTACCTCTGAAACCAGGCAACCCCAAGCTCTTCCAATCGCAAATACCTCAACTTCTATTCAAGATAGACGGGCATTTCTTTCATCGATATCAGTGATACCAATAACTGCACATACCCCAAAACTGACGAGCGTCTGATTCCACCACGTCATGACACATTTTTTCTGCTTTCACAGAGCATTTAGTTTTCACAAGAAGTTCGGGAATGGATTTTTTTAGGACTGCCAAGGTTTCACAGATTAAACAACATATTTGAATGGGCTCCCCTTTTTCTCTCACATTCAACAAATTGGTTCAGTTGCAACATGTCTAACACGACATTACACCCCCTGTGATTTAACACAATTCGGCAATTTGCCATTTCATGCAGAAGATGCGAGTCCAATTCCCAAGAGGGGAGGATTTTCAATCGAGTATCTCTGTCTGCTGGGACACTGTATGTATCCCTCTTTGCCCTTATTGGGACCAGCAACCTAGTCTTTATCAGCTTCCAGCTCAAATGCATTATATTCAGCACATATCTAAGGGAAACATCACAAAATATGTCCATGGTACAAACCTTTGTTGGATGTTGTACCCTGCAACCAATGTGCTTGGCCACATGGTGGTAGTGAAGCACAATATGTGAGGTAGTGTGGTGAAATCAGGCGCTCATTAAAATAATGAAAGTGAGGAAACTGGTATTTTCCGCAGGTTTGGGCATTTTGATCAAATTTTTGTTTTTTTGCTCAATATCTTTTAAGTCCATAAAGGCACAAAAATGGTAAATTTGCAACATCCGAGCACTCTCAAGTTATGGAGATCACCAACCGTTGGCGACCATTTTCTCACTAATTTTACCTTTGAAACAAAGCAACCCCACCTCCTTCAATCGCAAATATCTCAACTACTATTCAAGATAGCTGGATCATTTTTCATTCAAAGATAGACAAATGAACAAGTTTTAAACTGATACCAATAACTCCACATGCCCAAAAATTGACGAGCACTTGATTCCACCAAGTTGTTACATATATGTTGTACCCTGTAGCCACCTGGAGGTAAAGAAGCACACTTCAAGACCTTCAGCCACCGCCCTATGATTGAGGTAGGCACATTTCACAAAGAAGAAAATACCTAGCCTTGGCTTAGGACAATATATTTATTTGATCCTTTTCAACTCTTTGAATTTGAAGCTCAGCAAAATATTTCTTGAGTACATGTGACGCATAAAGCTAAGAAATTGAAATAAAAAAGTTTTAAATTCTTGGTTTCAAACACGTAAATAGCTTGATGACAAAATATTAAAAGCTTGATTAGAAATTAGTTGCAATTAAAAGAATATAAACATTACAACCAATAATTTCAGCTCATTTCTTATAAATCCAATAAAAAAAGCACATTTTTAGTTTCATTTCAAAATCACAATGCAAAAAACAACAAAAAAACCCAACTAAATTTCTTTCAAAAATTCTTAAGGCACATTATAATATTAGCCTGTGATGAGTCCCAACACTCCATGACAAAACCAGACTCTGCTGTCAGTCACAGGTGATTAAAATTCCTTGTTTGAAATGTTTGAGGTTAATACATCGGCTCATTGTCAACAGGAAACAGTCATGGCATAGAATGTTAACATGAAGGGTGAAGATCAGCAGTTTCGTGAGTCAACTGGGCCAGGATAGAGAGAAAACTTGGTGAAAAATAAAGACAACATACAATAATAGCAATAGATAGTAATAATAATAATTAATTATTATTATTATTATTATTAACAGCAGCAACGAAATAAATGACGGACAGTGATGCTTTAAATTGATAAATCACAGCTTCAAAAGGACAGAGCTATTAAAATGTTTTTACAATGTACACTGTACTCATACAAGGAAAAGCAAGGCATAGAATACAAGTCATAAGAAATGTGGCAAATCAAATAACTTCAGTGTACATTACTATCAGAGACACAGAGCACGAAGCACAATTTTAAAAGGGCTGGAGACTCAAATCTTTATCCCTCTACACTGTGTCAATTGATGAAAATAATAATTATAATAGACTCAAATAACATGGTATATTTACAACAAAAAAGTTATAACAGTACAGTGAAACTCACATTCAAAGAACTCAGACTCAACGTTAGTCAAGCCCCAGTCTAGAGCTCAAGTATATGGGACAAAATGAGGTCAGAAGAGAAACTTGATCAATCACCTGTTTATAATTTATACTTTCAAAATGGTAAAAAAATTAAAACTGCAAGCATAGCAATCTGTTCTAGAAATAATATACAGACTCGTGGGAACTAGGTTTCGCAAGCATTATTATAGGCAATCAAACAGGACATTTTACTTTCCATCGTGAGCATCTGGTCAGTTCTGTTTAGGGCATGAGTGAAGCTTCTGAGAGTACAACTGATTCCATAATTTTTATCATCTGTATCTGACGGCTGGGAGGAATCTGGAAGCAACCAATGTTGAATGTTTTGACTGTAATGCCTTCCAAGGTGAACTCAATGTCTGCACAGCCAGAGAACTGTTTGCCATGAACAGACAGGTTGTAGAACCGGATGCAGAGGTCAGCCAGTTTGTGGACGTATGGGATTGGTGCACAGACTGGAGGTGGATTCTTAGCTGTACGATGGAAAAACAAAAATACAATACATGAAGCCAAATAATTATATACACCTTTTCAATACTTTCTTTAACCATTTAGTTCCTGAAGGATTGTCCTGAAGCATGCCCTCAAATCCTGAAACAAGATTCCGTAGGGGTTCAGTATGGGCAAGTTGTTTATTCCTCCCATTAAAGTTATGACCATTGGGTTTTTCATTTGTTGCCCATCTATTTCGTCAAATTGAAAAATAACCAACTCATCTAGTGACTTAAAAATACGATATTACAGTACATTAAAAAATGAAATTTCAACACATATTTGTTTTATTGAGATTTGTTCAAAGTTTCCTTGGATTTGTCCAAGCTTTAACTCCACAGCACCCAAAATTTCATTATATTTACTTTTGAAATCCACACATGCACTATATTTGGGTCAATTTTGACCATTCAAAAATTCAAAGGAAGAAGAACAAATCTTTTCCTTTATAAAATAATTTTCAGTCAATTCTAATCGGACATTCTTTCTAGACCTCATAGAAATACATACCACGGCAGTGTCACACGTTCGCAAATTGCAACACCGTTCAAGGTGCAAATCGATAGACTTTGTGCAACGCTGCTCTAAGTGTTTGATGGTAAAGTTTCGTCTGTAAAAGACTTTTGAGCAAATGAAATCTAAATGTTTTCAAAACTACAATATGGTATCAAGTACAGTCCAAATCTTTATTACCTGATATTTTCTTTTGATAGACAATCCGACCATCCAGAGTCACATCTACTTCAAGTCCATACTCTTCAGGAAGATAAGAAATGTTGACGCATCCTGCACAAAACAAAAACACAAGAGAGGAAAAAAAGATTTGTATATAGAACCCTGATACAGTACAAGCCGCAGCAAAGAACAAAAGTGTGTGTGCCTAGAGAAAGGTACCAAAAGTCGCCAGAGAGCATTTTGAGCTACAGGCTGATAATGACAAAAAATTACTTTTTTGACCAAATTGTGTTTCCATTAAAAAAATGATAGTTCCGCCATTTTTAAACAATGTGTTAAAAGGGTTTTCATTGATTTGACTTCTAAAGATTTTATTTTAAATAATTTTGAGATTAGGGTATTCTTTAAAGAGAAATTGGAAACTGCTTTTAGAAGGTGTTAAAATCTATTCTTGAAGCATGTTTTCTCTTCCCCGCTATGTTTCACCATTGAATTCTAATCATGACATTGATGTGAAAGGAATGCCAAATTGGAAATTAATTTTCCATTTTTAAAAATACATTAGAAACAATTGAATTGTTTTGTTTTTTTCAAGTTTGTATGTGTCTTTAACTTAAAGCTAATTTTCTCAAAATTATATCTTTATACCCTACCTCACAAAATGTGCAATATCTCAAAAACTACTTGAGATATCTCAAAAAGTTAAAAACTTCTGTGTTCAGCATTGAATGTCCTGTAAAGTGCAACCCTTAACTCAAAATGGTCACAATCCGACTTTTGGTACCTTTCTTTAGGCACACACACAAATGTTGAAGGCCTCCATCAGTTTTAACATGGCACCCATGGCCTGAGGGGCACATTTTGAAGTCTACTGGATTGACTACAGCATGTATAGAACTCTGACAGAATATTTGGGTTTTTATACGTAACAGTGATAATCACACATTATGTAAGCAGAGTTCTAAACAATCCTGCACATTATTGTTTTCCTCATTTGATGCATAATTATGTTTATGTATTAGAAGTTGTGCTCAAGGGAACAACCCATGACTCACAGAACAGCAATCGGATCAACACTGCATGCAATTCTTTGTAAAAAATATAACTCTGTAATAACTGATAATGTGTCCAAGTGCGTTTTTTGGAGCTAGCTTGGACTGATGAATCAGATGAAATAATAAAAAACCTTAAAGCTACATTTGAACCTGTTATAATGACCAACTGTCAAAGACAAGCACCTGTTTAAACAACTTGCGTTTTTTTGCATATGTATACATGTATGTATATATATATATATATATATATATATATATATATATATATATATATATATATATATATATATATATATATATATCACTGTCCAAGAATACCACCTATGTAAGCGGACCAACTTTCTCCCCCACAATGGGTGGTCATATTTTATCATATAGAAACTCAAACAAAGTGTTTCAGAAGCAGGAACTTCGACAAAGTGTTTCAGAAGCAGGAAGAGTGGTTACCTGTATCGTTGAGGTGTATCTTCTCCACCTCCAAATGGAGACAACACCCACAGGTGTAGTTCACACAGGCACACGAGTTGTTTGGGGACATGCCTGGCACAGAGATACATGGAACAATATTTTGAATACAATTTTACAAGCTAAAATCCAATTGTGAGAACAAAAAGAAGAGGAAAAGAAGAAAAACAAAAAACTATATGCGTCACGGAGTGGTAGAATCATGCGCGTGTCAATTTTTGGGCATATGGAGTTATTGATATCATCTTAAAGGTTATTCAGATTCACTTACTTTGCTTATGATGAAAAAAATAGACATTTATCTTAATAGAAGTCAAGATATTTGCGATTGAAGAAGGTAGGGTCGCCTGGATTCAGAAGTAAAATTATTGAGAAAATGGCCGCCAAAGTTTGTTGATTTCCATAGCTTAAGTGTCCTTGGAAACTGAAAATTTACATTTTTTGTGTCTTTAAATTTCAACAATGTTTTCCATAAAATCCACGCATAAAAATGTTTTTGAATGGACATACAAGGTGTTGAGCTCCCCCCCCCCCCACCCCAAAAAAAGTTTTTAAAAAGCCCAAACTGGCAGAAAAATGAAGACTTCTCGGATTTCATTATTTTGACGAGCGCCGGATTTCACAATGATGTCTGACATGCTGATTTCTAAAAGGAGATTTATTCACAATGCTATATCTAACAGTTACACATTAAATTATACAATTCCAATACAAATGCTGTATCTGATTATCTCCTAATCTTCAAAGCATAAAGAACCATCTATTATAGATTGTATTAAAATCACAAAAACATGAAAGTTGACTGATAGAAAGTTGAGGCAATTTCATCATTTTAAAGCCACCCTTTTGAGGATGGCTCCATTACTTTTGAACGAATACAGGGGCAAAGAAGCTTATATATATGCTGCAAAAAAGTGGGAAGACATAGAATAATATCAAGAGGCTTTCCCAGGAGAGGGAAATGTGTAAAGTGTTTGTTCCTGGCCTATACCCTGATGCATGGTGAGAAAGGCAATGATGATGATGATAATCTGCAGGTAATCAGATTTCAAAAACTTTGTTTTGAATGGTAGCAGAAGACATTTTGATTCATTTCTGCATTCAGTTTCCTCTTGATGTTAAATTCAAAAGATTGTTGAACCTCATATATATATATATATGTACGTGTGCATCAAATAAAGCACTTCACTATGATTGTCTGACACACTTTCAAGGAAAGTTATCATTAAGCTTTTGCCAGGATGTTGAAAACTGGAAGCAGATGACAACCGTAAGACAGGGAAACCACTGAAACTACTCCACACATGTTGTTTGCACACATTCAGTCTTCTTCTTCTTTTTCTTCAATCCCGTGGTTGGGGCAACCGTAGGGGCACCACTGCATCTGAAAACCAGTTCTCGACATCTATTTTTGTCCTCTGCTTTCCTCAGACTGTCACCCACCGTCTTTCCTGTCCACTCTGCAATGTTGTCCTTCTCTGCCTTCCTCTCTTTCTCTTTCCTGGTACAGTTTCTTGTAGGATTGTTTTGGTAAGTCCGTTGGACCATGTGACATGCCCATACCATTTTAATTTTCGTCTCTTCACTGTGGTCAGTAGATTTTCATGCTGCCCCACTGCGTTGGTGATTCTCTTTCGTACCTCAGCATTTGAAACGTGGTCTTTGTACGAGATGTCAAGGAGTCTACGGTAACATCTCATCTCTGTGGTCTGAATCTTTTTCTCTAATTCTGCTGTCAGTGTCCACGACTCGCAGGCATATGAAAAGATTGAGATGACCAGTGAGCGCATTACACATTCACTACAACATTTAAAAAGGAGTAAAAAGAACAATACAGGATATTGCTTTGCAATCTAACCTGGAACACTTCCATATTGAGCAGCATCTTTCCTGAACATGATGGCCCTTTGCACAATCTTCACCATCTCCTGCTGTGACCTTGATATAATGAACAAAAAAGAGAAAGAACATCATTGAGCACAGCACATAAATACCATAGTTGCTTTTATATTATTGTAGATGTAGGTAGTAATGTTCTTTTTACAGAACAGGTATGAATGAGGTGACTCAACTTGGAAATGCAATTAATCATTATACATCAATTACTATTTTTATCAACAAAAAGGAAAGGCGGAGGAGGAGGGGGGGGGGGATGACAAAGAGGAAAGAGCAGCACTGTGCAGTGAGGGTGTAGATACAGGGGGAATGCATGATAGCGACCATGTTCTATGCATTAGCAAATGATGGTAGCATTAATGCAAGAGATCAAGAATAATATAAATACGAAGCAACCACCTATGGTAAGAAAAGCAAATGAGAGAGAGAGAGAGAAAGAGAGAGAGAGAGAGAGCGAGAGAGAGAGAGAGAGAGAGAGAGGGAGGGAGGGAGGGAGAGAGAGAGAGGGAGGGAGGGAGAGAGAGAGAGAGAGAGAGAGAGAGAGAGAGAGGGAGAGAGAGAGAGAGACAGAGAGAGAGGGGGAAGAGGGCTGATTTATATATATATATATAGCTCAAATATACAATCATATATATTATATATGACTGTATATTTGAGCCACCTTAAAAAAAACACAAAAAAAACAAAACAACTGATATAATGTGAAAAATGGAAAATGAAAGAAAAAAAATAATAGCTGAAATAAAAGCAATGCAATGAGACTACAGTGTTGCTGGATGTACTTCAACATCAAACCAAATTTACAGACAAGGGGACATAGCTGTATGAATGTAAGAAGCAAAATTACTTTTCAGGGTTACTTCCCTAATTCATTACTTGTCTAAAATTAACTTTGACTAGCTTAGCTTAAGGGTATGTGCTACTGAAATTTCCATCTGTTTTGATTTTACTAAATTATATATTATATACAATGTCTTGTGTTATCACTGTGTTCAGCATGTTCATTGGAAATGGTTAGATATTTGAATGTCATGAAATCATCATTCATCGACAACTGAGACGTTGTTGTTGTTGTTGTCGTTTTTGTTGTTGTTGTTATCGATCCAGTAACAGCTGGGCTTTCGCCTTTTTGTCCAATGCCATGTAGTGATAAGTGCAGGTTTGCTGCAGTTGCTGTAATGTTTCATAGAGGGTGTTGTCAATGTTAGGTCTCGGAGGGAGAAAGGTAGAATGTCATTTAAGGCTGTGCAGTGGAACAGGTGATGGACCAGTCTTATATGCATAGTCACACAAAGGACACATTGGGGGAAAATCTGGGTTGATTCTGTTCAAGTGGAAGTTGAGCTGTATATGTTCTGTTTGTAGACGGAAGATCATGGTCTGTTTCTTTCTCTGTAGATGGTTGATATTGCCATTCCTTTTTGTTGCGGTCATATGTTTGTAAACTGCTCTGCCTGTCTTTCCCAGGCCCCATCTGTTCATCCAATCTTGTTTGTTGCTGCTTTTAATGATTTATTTTGCAGTGTTGCATGAAGTTGGAAAGTTGGGTTGTTCCTGTCTAGATCCTCGTTGGCAAGTGAGTCTGCTATTTCATTTCCAGGTATGTTTGAGTGTCCGAGGGCCCACTGCATTACAAGATTGATGCCACAGAATGTTAGCAGATGATGGGAGCCAAATAGTATATGAGTCAAATCTTGGTTTAGATGATGGTCATTTTATATGGCTTGCAAGACGGATAGTGGGTCAGTGAAATTCACAATACTCTAGGCTTTTCCAGGATGAGTGTCAAAAACTGTGTGGAGAAGGTACAGTGCTGTTTCAATTGCCATCATTTCTGCACCATAGTTGCTGCATTTCTCTCCACAGGCTGCAGAGATCTCACTGGAAATTCCATCAGGGAACTGTATTAGTATTTCATACCCGGCTTTGGTTGTGCCTTTGAATACTGAGCCGTCTGTATAGACGTGTATCCAGTCATCTGAATAGCTATTGATTGATGAGATGCAAGCATCAGCATCACTGGGTCTGAAAATGTTGTGCTATTGTCTCTGAGAGATGTTGTAATGATTGGCTTTTTAAAAGAAAGGTGGGGAGAGATGTTTTGGTTGACTCTTTTGGTTTCTTGTCTGTTTTGTGGTAGATGGTGATTCTCCATTAGTTCTGTGCTGTGATGCATGATTGACTTTTGTTGAAGTCATTTCTTTGGTATCCATGTCTCTGCTAATTTGCTGTTTGGGTGGTTGGAGCACATTCTTTTGATTCTTTCATGTAGCTCCAAAACCGCTTTATCTCTGCGGATTCCCAGGGGTTCAACATTTGAAAGGATTTCACATTGAGCGGTAGGTGTGGATCTCATGCCACCATTTATAAAATGAAAGGCATTATTTTGGACCTTGTCAAGGGTGTTGCAAGAGGTATATTATGTAACTTATACCTCAAAATTTAGGACACTGAAAGAATCGTATGGCTGCTTCATTTTTCAAGCAATTTTTTTGGCTATTTGCTAATATTAATAATAATAATAATAAATTACATTTATATAGCGCTCAATCCCGATTAAAGTACACAGGCTCTGAGCGCTTTACAATACAGTACAAAGTACAACAGTAACATAAAACGTTGTGTTCCGACTAAAGAAAATTATTCCAAATATCCATCTTATTAATTTAAAAACAGAAATGACTTCAGCTGACATTTTAATGAATCAAAAGATTTGATCTCTCTTAAAGTACTTGGTAAAGCATTCCAGATCTTGGGGCCTTGGTATTCAAATGCCCTTTCACCCATTGTTTTAAGTTTCATAGATGGTAAAATAAATTTCTTTTTGTCAGCTGATGACCTTAAACTGCGAGTTGGAAAGTAAAGTCTTAACAGATTTGATAAATATGATGGTGCATTATCATTTAAACATTTGTGACATAGGGTGGCCAACTTGTACACAATCCTTTCCTCAACAGGAAGCCAATGCAAAGTTCGTAAAAGAGGTTTAGCATAATTTCTCTTTCTTTTCCGTAAAACTAAACGTGCAGCATTGTTTTGGACAGTTTGGAGTCTTTTAACTTTCTCCAGTGATATTCCTGATAACAAGGAGTTATAATAATTGAGTTTTTATAAAATTAAGCTAGTAACTAGTAAAGCAGTATACTTAGTATTAATCAGATGACGTATTTTACTAATTATTTTTATTTCTAAATACATGCAGCTGATCAGATGATTTCCCTCAGCCGACATTGACAAACTGGAATCAAAATAGATGCCAAGATTCTTAACTTTTCTTGAAAATGCAATTTTCGCATCACCAGTTGTCATGTGATTGTGGTCAAGCTCTTTAACAGACTTTGCATTGCCTGCCAGAATGACTTCTGTTTTATTATCATTCAACATCAATTTGTTTTTGTTCATCCAGTTTTTCACGAAGGCAAGACAATTTTTTAAGCACGATGGACAAGTTCATCTTAGTTGGTAAACAATGTTGAACCATAAATTTGGGTATCATCAGCATAGAAATGGTACTTTAAGTCATACTTAACTATTTCCTTGACAAGTAGTTGTTGAGTATACATGGTGAACAAAACTGGACCGTGGACTGAGCCCTGAGGGACCCCATACTTAAGAGCATGATCTGATGATTTAAGCTCTTTAATAACAACAGATTGGTATCGATTTGACAGATAAGAAGAAAACGAACTAAGGGCAGTCCCGGATAATCTAAAAGACACTTCCAATCGCTTCATTAAAGTATAATGGTCAATTGTATCGAAACCTGCTGATAGATCTAAAAGGGAGGCTCAGCAAAACAACTTTTCCTGAATCACAGTCAGTAAGCATGTCAACTACTACAATACCAAACTTTTGTCAACAAGAAAACTGCATTATTTCAATTACTTTTGTTTTTTGCAGCTATTTTGGGTGCTGTATCAGAAAAATGTGAACATTTTAGGTGGGAGGTTTATGAAAAAAATTACCCCCAAAAAAACTTAAAAGGCTGTGCTTTTATGATGTTGACAAAATGTTGTAATAATGTGTATGTCATGATGCTGTGGAATCCGCCGCTCATCAATTTTTGGCCATGTGAAGTAATTGGTATCACCTTAAAGCTTATTCATCTGTCTTGCTTTTGTGGAAAAAAATATGCATCTTTCAACAATAGAAGTCGATATATTTGCGATTGAAGGATGTGGGGGTTGCCTGATTCAAGGTAAAATTAGCGAGAAAATGGCCACCAAAGTGTGGTGACTCTCAAAGCTTGAGAGTCCTTGGAAACTGCAAATTTACAATTTTTGTGCCTTAAATCAACATTTTTCAGTAAAATCTCCATATAAATATATTTTAAATGACTCTTAAAGGCATTGAGTCAAAAAACAAAAATGTTTTTTAAAATCATCAAACGGGCAGAAAAATGCCAATTTTTTTTCAATATCATTATTTTGACGAGCGCCTGTTTTCACCACAGTGCCTCACATATGGTTGTAAAGACACCATGCCAAACTTCAACCCTTTTACATTTAGTCAAAAAAAGTGGAAGCCTAAGTATTTTTAGTACATAATATTCCTCTTGGCTGCCCAGGAAAGATGGTTCTATTCATTCAAATCCCTATCTATTACCCTAAATTACAATAAAGACAATTATAACAGCAAACGTTACACATATGGCAAGTCTAAAAAGAGCCCAATTTTTGTAGCACCTTCTCTTAACACTTTTAGTTTAGTTGTGCCAAGAGTTTATAATAGCACTTGAAACACGAATAGGTCATATTTGTGGCAAAGATTAGAGGTGTCACTAGAAAGTAAAATACAAGGAAAAGAAGAAGAGATAAAAATGATGGAAGTATGACAGGGAGAAAAACCACATCAGAGTGCCCACCAACCACGTCTGTTTCATTTTTGACCCTCCATACACTCAAGACATGCCTCATAGCTAGGTGGTGTAAATCTAAGGGTTTTCCCTACAGAGCTTGGATGCACGGGCTGTGAGGAAACAAGAGACGAGAGATCAAAGGATAAGGATGATACTAAATACAGTCCAACATTCTCAAATGGTCACCTGTTCAAATAACCACTTACCACTTCCCCACTTTTATTTTTTTCCTATATAATGACGCTATTCTTGACATCTACATGTATATATGACAATACCTTTTCTCCTCTACAATGTGGGGTCGTCTTGGACAGTTTTAACTATATAGCAATTCTAATTCTCAAGCAAAAATAATCACGCTGACCTCAAGTCGCCACGTTTCTCCACTACAGCTGATGAATCAGCAACAGTCCAAAGGTAGCAGGTCAGGCACAGAGTAATTGCCAAGGCTCTCCACATCTTGTAAGCTTACTTTTCTTTTGCAAAGACACCTGGGAAGTAATAAAGTAATATAATATATATCACCAGCAAAATCAAACCAACCTCTTTCATGAAGGTAACAGAACTCTTAAGTCTCCATTTATTAACTGTGACTGTAAGTTGTCCATTAATACTCCGTGCATGCAGTATATATGCCAGAGGATTCCTAGTGAGGGACCAAAAAAAAAAAGAATTTCACATCTATTCTAAATCATTACAATTTTCAAAAAGGGAAGAATTTAAAAAACGTTCAAAATTTGTCCAAATGACCCCATATCAAACAGAGTGCAGGATGGCGCGTTTGTGTGTGTGTGTGTGTGTGTGGGTGAGTGTGTGTGTGTGAGTGTGTGTGTGTGTGTGTGTGCGTGTGTGTGTGTGTGTGTGTGTGTGTGTGTGTGCATATTTGTCTGAGGGTATGTGTGCACATATTCGCAATTCAAAGAGAAGGACCAATGAACGTTCGCATCAAGCTATTGATTTAGCAGTAGAAGACAGTGACCGCATGTCCTGGGTCGCATGCATGTGTGGGTTTGTGACTTCAGCGTCCAGTGCTTTTCCTCGCCTGTTGCCTCATCACTTGCCCGTCCCCACAATCATCTTTACCACAGCAATATGAAGCAGTCCAACCACTCTCGCACCACACATGTAAACGCCAGACCTTTGACTTACATACTTCCAGCACTATCATGACCGTTGTCTTACAGCACATGAAGACCATTTACAATCAGGCTGGACTTACGTTACAGACTATCTACATCGCAAAGAGTTGAGAAGTTTCATAAAAACTGCGAATGAAAGAGCACTTGTATGATTCTTGTATGTCAAGAAATTATGATATTCCATCTTAAAATCTAAAGTAAAGTCGCAAGAGCCACTAGCTATATTTTATGCAAACCCACGCTTTGGTGCAAAGCCTCTGCCTAGGAGGTGTTTAATAAGCAAATTTGCCAGCTTCCTCGGTTTCAAATTTTTTAAAAATGAAGTGCTTGTTGAATTGACAGTTTACTGTGATATGGCTGTCTGGACTTACGTTACAGACTATCTACATCGCAAAGAGTTGAGAAGTTTCATAAAAACTGCGAATGAAAAAGCACTTGTATGATTCTTGGGCAGCCCTCACATTGTAGACGGCCGTATCACAGTAAACTGTCAATTCAACCAGCACTTCATTTTTAAAAAATTTGAAACCGAGGAAGCTGGCAAATTTGCTTATTAAACACCTCCTAGGCAGAGGCTTGCACCAAAGCATGGGTTTGCATAATATAGCTAGTGGCTCTTGCGACTTAACTTTAGATTTTAAGTTATGGAATATCATAATTTCTTGACACACAAGAATCATACAAGTGCTCTTTCATTCGCAGTTTTTATGAAACTTCTCAACTTTGACAACCAGGAGAGCTTGATTACATTTTTCCCAAGTCCGCTTTCGTTTTCATAATAAGCAGAAATTGTAGATCTTTTTTGCCCATGAGATGCTATTGAGACCATGATAAATGCCCCCTCTTCAGTTGTGTCTTTTCGAATGTTATGATTACAAGTTTGAACGTAGGCCAATATTCTTCAAACTGTTCAAATTTCCGCAAAATGTATACCGTACTAGAAACCTGGCATATATATATATTGTTAATAAATTATTACAGCTAGTTCAGGAAATAAAACTGAAATGTCATCAAAGCTATTGATGTCTTTTTTAATAAATCATTGTTAGCACTGTTTAAGTTATGAATAATTAACATTTCAACAACAGTCACCCATCATATATCTGAGAAACAGATTGACTAGATCGAGACTTTTTATATAGCGACATGCGCCATCTTCCTCAATTTTCTCTGAAATTTAATCGAGAAACAAAATGACGTTGGCAGCATATCAGCAAGGTTACAGCCGCATTAACATACCTGAATCTCGTATTTTTATGGTCAAAATTGTAAAAATGAGACAGATTTTTGTCTCTCCTGTAAAATTGTTATTTGGTGCTTGTCGCAGTGTTAGTGTTGTTGTAGCCATTGAGATATTTTCATTCCAACTTTTATCAGCATTTATTTTGTGGCCTTCATGATCCTCATACTCATAAGGTCTCCACCTTTTCTTTTGGAAATGTGCAACATTATTCAGATCTATATCTAGATCTAGATTTAGATTCTATGTCTGATTGTGGTATAACCTAATAATTGTCGACATTGTGGAAAAAACTTCGATTTGAATGAGTGGAAGACTGAACAACCAAACGAAATAAAGTCCAATTTGATTAAAGTTAAAGTGGTAAACCCAAGAATGCCAAGATAATAAGTGGATAAACCAAGGCCAAATTCAACTTCCTTGATGTTGAGACTAGAATCTATTACTTATTATTCAATTAAAATGGGCATTCTTCATCAAAGCAAGCAGTAATAAAATATAAATGTATAGGCTTTTTTAAAGCTACCCAGTAAAATATCAAATCGGAAGGACTTCCGTAACGAGCTACCACCCCATCAAACACAATAAAGAAGAGGCCTAACCCTAACCCTAACCCTACCCCTCAATTCTGATCGGTCTCATAGTGGTCGCTCGTTAGGGAAGTCCTCCCATCAAATCTCACGACCATGGAACATTTTCTCTACTAATATTGCCCCTAACCTTTATTCCAGAAGATAGCAGAGATGGGAAGCAGAGAGCAGCAGCTGGGAAAAGGCTTGTGGCTGTTGATACTTCCTCGTGCCCCTTGCTTGAATAACAAGAGACTGGTGACTGGGTGTGACTCTTTGTGTTGAGTGTCAGAGTGAATGGAAATTGAAAGCGGAAACCAATGACGCTTGGCTGGGTTAGGCTCACTTCCGTTGTAAACATTCGTCTACTTTCGGTTTCTAAGATGTCTACTTTATTTTAAAACTCATAATCTATAATAAACTCGAGTTTGTGAGAGGAGTTTTACAGATGTTGCATCCTACAGGTCACAAAGTTAGTCTTTTCGAAGGAGGAACCTTTGTTCCCACCTCTATATACCAGCTCAGGCTGAGAAAGATATTGACTGAAAAAAACGAATAGATAATTAATGAATCAAACGATGTTGCCAAGGGGTATGGCATGGTTTAGAATGTATTATCATGCTCAATCTTTTAACGAAAAAAAAATATCGTTTTTGATAGAAAACAAAGAAAACAATATGCTACAAAACACACCTTAACTTTCATACCTGGTGATTAAAGTACACTCGTTATATTTGTATGCCAAAAGTAAGCCCTGTAAAGGCCTATACATGCATTGCAAAGTTAGACCATATCAAGCAGCAATGTTGATAATGAAACAAAAGAAATCAGCGCATGTAACACAAATTCTGAAAGAACTGCACTGGCTGCCAATAAAAGAAAGGATCAAATACAAAACTGCCGTTCTCTGTTTTAAATGTGTAAATGATACTGCAACTTTTTATCATACAACATTCCTGGAATTATATCATCCGCCTAGAGCCCTTAGATCAGCCGGGCCCCTGATAATCTAATTCTTTTTAAAAAATTACAAAACATACAGCGAGCGTTCCTTTCTGTTCTTTGGTCCCCAGGTATGGAACGAACTCCCATATAAAATAATATCTGCCCCAACAATTTAGGCCTACATTTTCAAAAATCAGATGAAGCATTTTTTATTCACAAATACATACCTGTCACAATGATGTACTGTTATAATAGGCCTATATTATATGCATGTGTATGCCAGACTGTGAGACTGAAGAAATAGCGTGTGTGTGTGTGTGTGTGCGTGAGTGTGTGTGTGTGTATGTGTGTGTGTGTGTGTGTGTGTGTTTGTGTGTGTGAGAGAGAGAGAGAGAGAGAGAGAGAGAGAGAGAGAGAGAGAGAGAGAGAGAACGGACATGTTTTAAAAATCTGTAGAGAACGAATGGACATGAATGTGTCTAGTAACTCACGTTTCAATTTTATTTTTGACCGTTCGTGAATTTTTATTTCATTGAAATTTTTTTGTGAACGCATTTCTAACCTCACTGCGAGACAGTTTTTCTCATAGAAAATTTAGCGCAAATACATAGATATTATATATATATGCATAAAACTTTGTTTTATGTACACGCATGTCGATTGATTTTTAAGATGTGATGTCTTTTTTGATGTAATGCGCATTGAGCATTTTTTTTTTTTTTACAAAAAAGGAAAAGTGCAGTGTAAATGCTATTTATTATTATCATTATTATTATTATTATTATTATTATTATTATTATTATTATTATTATTATTATTATTATTATTATTATTATTAATGTTATTATTGTTTTTATTGGCCGATTTTGTCAACTTCAGCAGTGACACAGTTCAGTCACAGTGACGTCGGTAGTCTAGTGGTTAGCTGCAACAATTATGATACTAGAATAGAACATGGTACTAAAATAGCTGAGGTCAGCATTATTAGGAGGGTGACATTATTTAGGCCACATATGACCTAAATAAGCTAAACCCCCCTCCCTAACATTATTTGGGCCACTGTGGCCTAAATAAGCTAAACCCCCTCCCTTATCTAATTTAGGCCACATATGGCCCGAATAAGCTAAACCCCCTCCCTTACCTTATTTAGGCCACATCACAGTAGATTTGTTGAACTTATAACCATGGATTTGCAAGGTCGAGATTCGACTTATCTTTTTATTTAGTGCGGGGGATTATTTCAAAATAGAGGATGATACAGAATGAAAAGTGGCCCAAGGGTAAGAGTTGTGTGTCTGTCTGTGTGTGTGTGTGTGTGTGTGTGTGTGTGTGTGTGTGTGTGTGTGTGTGTGAGTGCGTGTGTGAGTGCATGTGTGTGTGTGTGTGTGTGTGGATGGGTGTGTATGTGTTTGTTTTGTGTGTGGTTGGGGTGCGAGAGAGATCTAGAGAGAGAGAGGGAGTAAATGTAATAGTGTGTTTGTTTGTTTGTGTGTGTGTGTGTGTGTGTGTGTGTGTGTGTGTGTGTGTGTGTGTGTGTGTGTGTGTAATGTGTGAATGTTATTGTGTGCGTGGTTTATCTGGGTTGTACGGTCCAAATGTAGGGGCCTACATTATTTTGTTGAGAATTTTATATATAACTCAACTACAAAACACCTCTATACAAAGTCACAGAAATTAATATTCTATTTGTGCTTATTGGGGTACAGTACAGGGTGATTTTACCCACAAAGATAATCGGACGAAATGGGCAATATTTTTACTGCTAAAGGTCGTATTTAGACAAATCCTATAATCCTATATCATTCTCTCTTTTTTTTGTTCTTAACTGCTCATGGTTACTAAATTGTAAGCCAATTAGATGAAGTTCAAGGTAGTAATTTCGGACTCCTAATATTATGGGCATTCTTAAAAATTTTTTAACTTGTTTTTAGCGCTTTTCTCAACGTAAAACGGATTCCGTTAAAAAAAACAACAATGACCTTATCTTTCTTTTAAAAAGTATTGTGCATACATTTGTGTGAAACTATATTATTATTTTATGCTTTCAAGTACATGAAAAAAGCTATTGAAGTCAAGTAAAATGTTCTTCAGAAACATGGACCTAGCAGAAGGCCCACTGGAACATTTTATAAACCGTGAAAAGATGACCAGAAAATAACAAAATTATCTTATGATCCTTACTTGCACTTGCAATTTTTTGGGGACAAATTATAGTCTACCTCATTATCTTTTTTTTCCACACATATTTCTTCACTTTTCATGACATAACTGAATTGTTTTCAGTTATTATCAAGGAAGTGGATAGGTGGACCACGGGGTCTATCTAGCCAAAAGGATAGGTGGACCCCGGGGTCTACCTAACAAAATACTAGGTTTTAGGACGTGAACCCCGGAGTCACCGTAGTGAAATAAGTAGATCTAGGTTTAACTAAGCATCGGTGGACCCTGGGGTCAACGTAGTGAAATAAGTAGATCTCAGATTATTTTATTGTAGGATTGGTGGAGCACGTGGTCAACGTAGTGAAATTATAAGTAGATCTAGGTTTAATTAAGGATTGATGGACCCCGGGGTCAACGTAGTAAAATAATTAGATCTAGGTTTAATTTCAAGGATTGGTGGAACCTTGAGTCAACGTAGTGAAATAGGTAGGTTTAAGGTGGATCCCAGGGTCTACCTAACGAAATACTAGTTAGGTTTTAGAATAGGTAGACCCCGCGGTCACCGTAGTAAAATAAGTAGGTTTAATCAAGGTGTCCCGGGGGTCCACCAAAACTTTAATTAAACCTTCTCATTCCTCTACGGCTATGGTGATTCTGGGTCCACCAATCCTTTAAAAATTAAACCTACTTATTTCACTACGGTGACCCCGGGGTCCACCTGTCCTAAAATCTAGTATTTCCCTAGGTAGACCCCGGAGTCCACCTATCCTTTACAGAACTATTATCATTTAGCAATTTTTATTGATTAGCATATTTTAAAATATATATATTGAATCAGAGACTCGCTGTCTAAAAAGTCCACTGCTAATGCTATTCTTATCAAAGAAAATGGCACAATTTGATTTTAAGTAAAAAAAATAAATAAATAAATAAATTTTAAAAAACCCACCATAAAATGACTATATCTATGTATGTATTTTATTATGTATACTGAAAGACTGAGCAGAGGCTTACAATTTAAACTCTGTGCTCTACTAGTAGAGACAATCTTATGTTTGCGCCAAACAGATTTTAGAAAAAAAAGTTGGATCTAATTATTCTGATAAAAATAAAGTGATTGTTATGGTGAGATTTGTTAATATTAACTCCGGAAATACAGTTAGTTGCTGAATCTAAAATTAACTAGAAATGTGCAATTCGTTTTATTCCAATTCCAAAGCCCAAAGGCATAGCGATAAGTTAGATGATCTAGATCTAGCAGTTGTAGGCTTCTGGCTGTTTCTAGTCTAGGTCTGCTACTACACTGATTCTAGACAGGGAATCTAGATTTAGCTATCACCGGCACTATTAAAGTCAAATATATTATGGTAAAATAAAAACAATACTGCGAATTATTTTGTCAGTCAGTACATCACTTGACATAGCCGCACGATTAGTTGAATAATCTAGCATCTGCGTTTGTTGTTATTTTATTGTCCAAAAGTTGCCACAAAAATGGCAAAAGGTGTCATTAATGTTCAAGCTTTAAACGCTTTGTGACAACGTATATAAAAATAATTTGGCAATATATTGATAGAGGTAACTTAATCTAGAGCACCAGAATTTCTTGTGTTCTGTTTCAAGCATCCAGATGATCATTTACACAGAGTGTAAAAACGTGAAAAATAAAGGTTTCACAACAGAATGATATCAAAAATTAGAACAGAACATAAACTACCACAAAAATTAACAAACAAGAGCGTGAGTCCACCTATCCGAAGAGTGGCCGTTTTAATAGGCACTTGGGTAAAAATTCCAATGCTTTCAAATTGCTTTAAAAACAACAGCAATGCAAAGAGCTCAGTAACACGATTCTAACGCTACCTTAGTTATAGCTCTATGTTGAACCGTTTTTGAGATATGGCATTTTAAAGATCTTTTCGAGGCGAAAAAATATACAAATGTACATAGAAAAAAAGGAAACTTTTAAGATCGAAACAGCAAGAAAAATAAGGGAAATGTTTGCTGCTTCAATATGCTGCTGCGTACATGCAAAAACCAAACATTTTCTGAAACCTTGTGATGTTGAGGACAAAATAAAGTCAGACGATATTTTTATATATCGTGGTGGGTAATATTGGGTAATATTATGGAACACTGTGTTGCGTCCTGCGGTCAATATATTTTGCCATAACTTTCTTATAAATGAAGCTACAACAATAATTGAGGTAT